AGCAGGAGCACGGAGTCCAGGCTGGCAGGGACTCTGGAGCCAGGCCAGCTCCCCTTCTCCCTGCTTATGTAGCCTGGACCAGCTCCAAAGAGCCCCTGCTAGCCTACACCCCCCCCATAACCTCTCTCCCAGTACCACTGCTGCCTGCCCAGAGCATAACCCGGCCAAGCCCCTGCTGGGAAGAGCTCAGCACCGCCCCAGCGCCAGCCTGCAGGAGCAGCCTGCCCTCACCCCACACAGATCCAGGGGCACACACCCCTCCATGCCCTCCTGGGGTGCATGTAGGGGCGCGAGCCACCACCCTCTCCCCGCGCCCCCTGAACGAGCTGCTTGTAGCTCCATCCCGCACTCTGCCCCACTGTGCAGCACCTGCCCCTGCCCCTGCCCCATCCCCATTCCCTCCCTCACCACGGGGGGCCTCAGTCTGTGCACCCCCACAGCCCTTCCCTTGCCCCTTCCCCCACAACAAACTTACCAGCTGGACACTGCTCTCCAAGCTGCTCAGCTGTATATCGGCAATCGGATTGGTATTGGCTGATACGGCTTGCTAAAAATCTGATATCGGTATCAGCCCAAAAAATCTTAATCAGTGCATCCCTTAGAAATTACTGAAGGAGATATGAAATAAAAAAATAGAGGCTTAGAAGAAGCTTCCACATGAGCAGAGACTCAAATCACTGGGACCTTTAAGAGAAGAGACAAGAAGGGACACCACAGAGGTATATTGTTTCCTTACATAGTTTGAAGGATTCTCTTTATTTAGTAAATCTGAAAAGTGGTAGGTTTTAAAACTGAGGCAAGGAACTGCCATTTTTCACAACGTAGAATGAGCCAGTGGAACTTACTGTTACAGGAGAACAAGATGCCAATGGCTGAGAGGATTGAAAAAAGACTGGACATTTGTCTGGATAATGGAGATGCCTACAACAATGTTAGAGGTGGTCAAAGAAGGGCACGTCTACATGTGCGCTTTAATGAACATTAGCCTATTTTAGTGCGCATTAAAGCATCATTAGTTAATGCACATTAAAATAGACTAATGCACATTAAGCATCATTTAAAAACTGTGGGCACCTATACACGGGCACAGAGGCTGCTCCAACATGCTGGAATTCCAGCGTGCCGGATTCATCGAGTCTGCTGGAGCATGGCAGTTGCTGATCAAATGAGTTTTCATTCAAGTGCCCCTGTCGCCATTTTTAAGCACAGGGGTGCTGGCACACGAGACATGGTGGTGCTTTAATTAGAATGGCTCTCACACCACTGGACTCACCCTGGGGCTGCAGTGTAGGGCAGGCAATGTCAGGCCCCATCCTGAATCCCCGGGAAAGTCCTAAAGACTGTTCAGCTCCAGCCTTCCACAACAAGAACTAGGGGGAGCATAAATGGCACGGACCAGCAATCCAGGGGCCCAGTCCTCGTGGGTATATGTGCATAAGCAGCTCTGCCCTAGCTATGGTCCTAATACACTGTAAGGTCTTAATACAGCCCTTCTGGAGGGAGCCGGAAGTCAGTTCTGGGCAATCCTAGGATCTGATTGAATTCCCTCTGTTCTGTACAGAGAGCATTTCTCTGACATTGTTTGAAAAACAAGAACTCCAGCACATTCAGTGGAAGGATTTTTAAAGGACCAGAACTGCACCTGCTTTCACTTGCCTGACTGGGAGGGGAGCCACGTGTCTTCCTGAGCACTAGCAAGAGTTTTTGGCCGTAAGGTGCCATTCTGCAGTAAGTTCCAGTCTTTGATCTCGGTGCACTCGACAAACCTTAGTGAACTTATCTGTATTATCCTCTATGAGATGGATCAGTTTTGTTGCCTGCCTTTTACAGGTGGGGAAAGCGAAACAGAGTAGGGGAAGTGGCTTGCCAAAGATCACCCTGGACATCAGAGGTAGGACTGAGAATATAGCCCAGGTATCCTGACTCCCAGTCCTGCTTCCTAACTATCCCTCTCTCCCCTTACAGAGGGTTCACCCCAAAATATGAAAAAGATTCAGAAACTAAACCCCCCATAAAAATCAGAACATCTTGCAAGCAACAGGAGGCAAGGGAAAATCTTTGGGGCTCTCCATGTGCTTGTGTTACTCTCTTTTCCATGAGAATGCAAAGCATGCCTAATCTTATTACAGCGTTTTCCGTAACATTACAATGTTGACATAATTATTGCAGCATTTCCCGTTAGCTATTGTATAATTGAAAACTTGCTGTGGAAAGCAATGTCAGTTTTTTTCTAAATGAAACATCCAAGAAGATCTGGGACATTGTTGTTGATTGGGGCTTTTTAACCCTTTTGTTCAAAGGCTGTATAAACACAAGGGCATTCTTTAAAATTATTCTGATGGGCCCAGATCCTGCAGTCTGATGGGCCCAGATCCTGCAATCAGTGAAAGCCTCTGTGTCCTTTCACTGAGCTCATTGCAGGATCAAAGTGACAAGGAGACAGACAAACGTCTCGGGCATGGGGGAATTCCAGCTTAGTTCTTGATGTCAGCACTTCTCTGCCTTCCATACTCACTTGTTTGTCCCCTACTCATCCCAGCTTCTAGACGTCTGTCTGCTTCCACATCCTGAGTGTGTGTCACCAATGTGTCAGCATCCCAGGGGTTTTCAGAACTGCCTCTGTGAGTTTGGTGCCCAATGCCCTTGGCTTTCAGTGGAACACAGGCATCTCAGTATTGCAGGTGGTTTAGCTTCTCCCTCCCCCCCTGCATAACTCTGTCCACCCTTCAGGATTTAGTTATTCCAGCCAGCCCAGTGGGGTCTTTTGTAGCTATTCCCAGCTCTGCCACTGATTCACTGTGTGGCCTTTGCTGAGAAGCTGATTTTCACTCAGTCTTAGATTTCCCCCATCTTTGAAACAAGAAGATACTGATCCTCTGCAGAAAAGGAGCTGGGAGGCTTAACTAATATGTTCAGGGTGTATTGAGATCCTCAGACAGAAGGCGCTAGAGCAGATCCAAATAGTGCTAGTGCCCGTGGATGCAGTAAAGATGACCAGCCACTTTCCCTGCTGTCCCTTTCCATGGGTGGAAATGTCGCACGCTCTTTGCATATATGACCCATTGCTCTCCCTCACACACATTCTCCTGCATTTCAACCTGTGGGTAGCAGTCCCGTCTGGTCTTTATAAAGGAGATATCTCCTGTTGGGCACTTCCTGTAGTCCAGAGGCATGTGTACAACCAGTTTCTTTCCATGAGCTCATGCTCTCCCTAACTCATTGGCTTGGGGCACAGAGAGACGATCTCCAAGTTCTGGTCACACAGAGTCATGTCTGTCTTAAGGCAGTGGGACCAGCCGTGTTTTCCTTGTGGCAGTAGAGCTTCCTCTGCTTGTTTTCCGTCTCAGATGCTCTAAGTGGGGAATCTGTTGGCTGCTTTGTGTAGATCAGGGTTTGGTGTCTGAAATTTAAACTCACATCATTAGCTGAACAGGAACAAACACAAGCACATCTCCCAAGTGGACAGAGGGTGTGGGAAACTGAGGCACAGAGCAGGGAAATGATGTGGCCAAGGCCAGGCAGTGAAGTGGCAGCAGACCGGGATGATTTTGGTAGCTGACTCCTGAAGGACGGGCTGGATTCCACGGTGGGACTTGCAAAACACCTAAGCAGGTTCAGTGCTTAATGAGGGACAGAGAGGGGCTCAGCTGAGCGCTTCACCGCAAACATGTACGAGACTCTTGGACAACTGGAGCAAATACTTTTTGTGACTGGGTCTCTGTGTATAGTGCCCAAGATGAGCTCGGATGGCGGCAGAACCTTCGGTCCCAGTCATCTGTTTGTCTTCGGGCTGCCAGCAGGCAGCTCATGTAAACCTGTTACGTCACAATAAATAATTTCAGATGGGCTAAACTGGAGATGCATCCCGTTTCCCACCGATCTGTGCCTAGCCTTTCCCCTCCTTTCTCCCAGGGAGAGGGCTACAGGCTCTTTAATAAACTAGTGATGAGTCTCACCTGCTGTGAAGAACACATGTTCAGTGAGGAGCTCATCTGCTTTCACTCAGATCCCCAGAGCTAAGGAAGGGAGCGTTGCCTGTTCTTTCCTCTGGAGCATCCCTCTGCCCATGGCTGCAGGGTGAGAAATGTCCTGCTGGATTGGGAACAGACTGGCTGCTCTAGCAGGTATATTCCAGGGCTACCTTCTCTGGTAGCCCCCTGGGAGAAATGGGCATTTTGTGAGGCCATTTCAGCACATCCCCAAGGTTGGTGGGATTTGCCCCTTGTGAGTAAAACTGGGTTAAAGCATCCCAGGTATCATGTGAGAGCCTCCAGAGAGTCCGTGCACTAGGGCCATGCAAAATTTTGCCCAGCCTTTCATTTCAAAGCTGTTTCAATGTGTTTCGAGCTCGAAACAGTGAAATCAAAATGAAACAAAAGCCTTTGAAACAGCTTTGAAATGAAACAAGGGAACTTGAAATGTTTCAAAGCCAGGCTTACTGGCTTCAGCACCAGTCCCAGCTGGTAGTACCCAGCTCCTTTCATCTGGCAGGCAGATCGGGGGCTTGCCTGCACCCCCAGGAGGGCTGCAGGGGCTGTGCTGAAGTCCTCCTGGGGGTGCATGCTCCCAATCTGCCTGCCAGATGAGAAGAGCTGGGTGCTGCTGGCTGGGACTGGGACTGGGACTGGGAAGATTGGTGTTGCCGCCAGTCCCAGGCAGCAGCACCTGGTTCCTGTCATCCCGCACACAGATCGGGGGCCTGCCAGCACCCCCGGGAGGGCTGCACGGGCTGTGCTGGAGTCCTCCTGGGGGTGCAGGCCCTCCTGGGGGTGCATGACAGGCCAGCTCCTGTCATCCTGCATGCAGAAATGGGGATTTTGTGAGGCCATTTCAGCACATCCCCAAGGTTGGTGGGATTTGACATTTGAAACATTTCAAAACTTTCAACATGTTTTGAGTTCCCTTGTTTCATTTCAGAGCTGTTTCAAATTTTGCATGGCCCTAGTGCACGGACTCTCTGGAGGCTCTGCCCGTTTCTGTGTGCGGGATGACACGAGCTGCATGCTGCTGCCTGGGACCGGCTGCAGCACCGATCTTCCTGGTGCTGGGTGCGGGCTGTGCCCAGTGCCCGTCTGTAATTTGGCAGGCATATCCAGGGGCACGCACCCCTGGGAGGACTCTGGCACAGCCCCACAGTCCTCCCGGGGGTGTGGGTGAGCCCCTGATCTGCCTGCCAGATGAAAGGAGCCAGGTGCTGCTGGCTGGGACCAGTGCTGGGAAGATTGTTGCTGACTCCAGTCCCAGGCTGCAGCACCCAGCTCCTGTCATCCCATGCGCAGATCGGGGGCTTGCTGGCAGCCCCCATACCAGGGATGAATTGAGATTATTAGCTCTGTTTTATTACTCTGATAACTTTATTCTCCTGCCTCAACCATAATCACCTTCTGTGTTGAAACAGTGGTGGCTAATGAAGCAGCCCTTCCTACAATCTTTCTCATGCTTAGTCTCCAGGACGCCATCATTCTTAAAATTGGTGCGGCTTAATATTCCTTGCCAGGATCATTACTTGCATTATTCATGGTTGTCATTGTCTTTGCAGCTAGTAAAGTGAATGCCCTGCAGCATGATTCCATCAAGTACAACTTGCAGAGGGTGAATGAGGTTGTGGGATTGTTTTATATACTAATCACTTGCATGTGCTCGCTTTCATGCAAAGATCTGGAAGGGCTTTCCAAAGCCAGGTATTCTGCCCATTATTTTACAGAGGCAGAAACTGAGGCACAGGGACTGAGTGAAATACCAGAGCTAAGGTTTCCTGTGTAAACTTAATTCCACTCTGTTGTGAAGATGACACTGTCTTTAATTATGTAATGAAAGTCCTCAGTGCTTTTGACCCTAGGTTGTAGCCAGCTTATAAGGATGGTCATGCATGGAAACTGGAACATGCTCAGTACAGATGGGATCTTTTGAAAATGTAGATGCTATTTTTTTAAGACTCTCTGCTGAGATTTCTTTTCAGTGGCTCTTTATGTAGTCAAATTTGAGCAGATGTCATGGGGGTGACAAAAGGCATCTCTTTGACGGCAGGGCAGCCCTTCCTTCTGCCAAACTTCAAGTCCTTGTTCCAAAGCACTGAGTTACTAAAACTTCTCAATAAAACCTGCGTTTAAGAATGTTTAACATGTTGGGGGAGAAAAACATATTTTCCCAGACAATCCTGTTCTCATCAACATCTGGGCAAGTTTTGCCGAGACACTGGTGTGGGGGGAGCCAGCTTGAGGCAAACACCTGGTATGAGAAAATTCAGCCTAAATGTCTGAAGATTGACAAGAGCTCTAAACAATGGAAAACAGGGTCTTATAATGGGATGAGTCAGGCCATCTTAATTACAGGCAGCTCTTTCTATATTTCTTACGATCATTTAAAAGGCAGCTGAACTATTTTGCATGCATGCCTGTGGCCCTATCACCACAGCATCTCAAGCCCTCCCAAGAAATCCTGGGCTTATAGAGCACATTCTTTGGTAGTAAAACCCTCTAATATGATAGGGAACAAAATATTCATTCTGCTCTTGTGAAAATTGGAACTCTTCATCCATGGCAACCATCTGTGAATTCAATGAATGGCTTGATCAGTAATTGGAGCTGTGTGGTGGTATCTTCACAGATAGGTGGACATCCACCCTTCACCCACCCAGTCATGCCAGTCTAGAATTGTAGTGTACAGGCTATGGGACAAATGATACCTTTGGAGGAGGATATGAGGAGCTTTGCTCACAGTAGAATGGCAGAACCTGGTGCTAGAGAGAGGTGGCACATGTGGCTCTGCCCAGACCCCTGATGGCAAGGACTTATTTGTAAGCAACAGCAGCATGGAAAATTCCCTACCTCTGGAATTCTTGTATAGTCTGTTTCTGTGTTTTTATGGTTGCCTTCAAGGCAAATCTGATATGTTTATGGTGGGTTTGTAGAAGC